GAAAGGGCAGTTTACAAAAGAGATGACTTTTAAAGGAATGAATCGAATGACTGACAATAATAGCATGATAAGATAAATGTAGTGCTTTGAAATATGATTTTTAAAAACCGGTTCACCATAGATACACCCATAGCATATTTTTGAAATAAGGTATATACATTTAGAATAGGATAAATTATTAATATTATAGGCAGAGAATAAAATCGACAATGTGCAATTTCCTGTTGAAATTTGGATTGTTTGCTTTACAATTAAACAGTAGAAAATATGAGAAAAATACTATAACTATTAATGATATGTAAATAAAATATTGCACAATATGATTTGTATTCTAAGGCAATAACAACACCATGCATCTATTAGGTGCTCATGTAAAATTTTGGAATGCTGTTTCTGTATTATACCAATGGAGGGTTTGGGGGTGGGGCGGCGGGGGGATCTCACACATGCACTTTCAGTTCAAAGCTTGACATGGGTTTTTTCCAGGTCCTCTAGTTTCCTCCCACTGCCAAAGGCCCCCTCTCCAGAAATGACCTCTCTCTCTCTCTCTCTCTCTCTCTCTCTCTCTCTCTATATTAAAGACCCATACATGTAATATGGCCTACCCTCTCTCTCTCTCTCTCTCTTTCATTCCAAATTTTTATTTTAGAATTACATAAATAAAAGAATGTGATGATTTTGAAGTCAGTATAGAAAAAATAATCTATAGAATGAATTCTAGAGTTTTGTATATTTATATAGTTAAGTATATAAACAGTATAGAGTGTAAATTATTATATGTAAGAATTGTTTATTTATTATGATAATACTCTATGATCTATGTTATATAAGTTATAGTAGACAGAGCCAGTATTCCCTTTGGGTTATCAGACAAACCTCATACTTATATAAATAAACATTCTTTACTATATATTAATACCTCATTTCGGATTTGATTAAACATGCATTATGCAAGAGCTAAATCTGCCTATTGCAGGTCTTCTTTAGGCCTGAAATGTTAGCTAAATTATTAATTAGACATTAATTAACTTATCCAGACCATAATCAACTCTTGATGTCATCGCTAGCCTGCGATATTTACTGTATTAGGTCAACTTTCATTTATGTTTTTTATCTTACCGACTTTAGTAATGATGATCGAAGCTAGGCCAAAAATTCAATCGCTGAAATTTCGGTTCAGGGTGGATGAATTTGACTGAAATTTTCAGCAAATTCCCTTTACATTATCTAGTTTTTAACTATTATAGTGAGAACAACCAGCTCTTTATCTAATCTCCCATAATGTATCTTCCCATAATGTATCTTTAATTATACCATGATTTTATTTTAGTTATGTTTTTAAGTTCTTGCATTATCATTCTGTGGTAAGGACCTGTTATGAAGTGGGGTGGTTTGTCATCCTTATTTGATCAAATTCGTTTTGTTTTCATGACATTTTTAAGTTTTCACTTTTATCATTCTAACATTACGACTATACCTTTCATGCTGTTGTGGTCAAAATCAATGGCTTGAGTTGAAACTCACGTCACAAGATCCCAAATTTGAGATGTCAATCAGTATCGAAAGTTCTGCCAAATTTCTGCTCCTTTTGTTCCATTCTAGATACATTATAATTGATTGGAAAATATATCCAAACAAATATATCAGTACTTCTATCAGGAATCTCTGTGAGTGCCGGCCATAATAGCGTTTAAGGCAGATATTTGGTAAATATGGCTGACTAGTCTAATCCCCTCAATATCTTCACCATCCAATGGTCTAGAGAGTTGATTATATAATTATATTATATAATTTATATAACATTTGAAGGCAGAAAAACATCCTGAAATGTGCGGATTTTGGTCTCGCATTATGAATATAAGACTGTAAAGACAATTTGACAAGTATAGCAGTATTAAGATGAATGCTGACATATGACAATCACTTTGGCAATCCTTTTTTGATAAGTTACACAATAATATTATGTGCTTATTATGCTGTTTGAGACTTTCGTGGATTTAAACTAGCAGCTTATCATCATTTGCATGTTTCGGGCCTGACAAGGACAGCTGTCTAGTCGTTCAAATGGGACATTGGCATGCACGTTAAAGATGCCCGTTTTCATTAGCCCAGTTCAAAGAAGAACAGTAGGATGTTAAACCCAATTTCATTTCATTTCATTTGCATTTTTCGGACAATCTCCAAGTTTTATTGTTTACAGGTATATTAAATTAAATTAAGCAAATAAACACAAAGAATCAATACCAAAAGGTGGCACAGGCTTGATTATGTCATCGGCAGAGGTATCCAGATTGTGAGAAAATTTTCATTTCATCATATTTTTGTAAATACTGAATAGAATTGAGCTATTTTCATATTATTGTAGTTTGCATGTGATTAAAGATACATTATGGGAGATTAGATAACGAGTTGACAGTTCTCACTATAATAGTTAAAAACTAGATAATGTAGGCAATTTGCTGAAAATTTCATTCAAATTGATCCACTATGAACCGAGAACTAAGCGATTGAAATTTCCGCCTAGCCTCGATCATCATTACTAAAGTCAGTATGATAAACAGCATAGTCTTGATTATCCATTTAATCGTTAAATCGTGAAGAAAAGTTATGCAGTAAATTGGCTCATAATCCACTAAAGATCTCAGGCTAGCGATGCCATCGCGAGTTGATTATGGTCTGGATAGGTTAATTAATGTCTAATTAATAATTTAGATAACATTTCAGGCCTAAAGAAAGACCTGCAATAGACAGATTTAGCTCTTGCATAATGTATGTTTAAAATACTAAATAGAATTGAGCTATTTTTGGACTGATATTCCTTTTAAAGATTCAACTTTCACAATATTGTAGTTTGTATGAGATTGTATTTTGTATTCTTTTCAAGTGACCGTCATTGGTTTCAATTGATGACCTTACCTTGTGCAAAGGAAAGGGTATTTTATTAATTCTTTGATAGGCATTTAGTAATTGAACATATCATGGACCTTATAATACATTATAAGGTCCTTGAACATATTAACACAAGGTACATTTTTATGGATACACAATTGCTAGAGAGTATCCTTGTCAAAATGTTGCATAGTATTAAACTTGGTAATTGTGTATCCATAAAATTGTACCTTGTTTAAGCCAGATTTTCAAAATGGTATGTTGTAATTGAAACATTCATAATTTTAGATAAATATTTTATATCAATAGACCACACATATGTTATTATACTTATAACTCACTGTGTTTATTTTAACAATAAACTGTTGAATCACTTGCTATAGTCATTAAACCATTTCCTATAATAAAACCCAAGCTTAGCTATTCAACTTACATAATTGTGTCTGATATTTTGTCTGATAATTGTTTGAACTTTATGGGTCGTTCTCATAGCTTGTACACTTCTGATCTTTCATTCTAATAGCCGTAAAGATGGCATCCCACATGCATCCTGTTTGATTTGATGATATATTTGAACTAAAAACATATTTAAACTTATTTATCTGTCAAACCTGAAATAAAACGGAATGGGGTTTAACGTCCTACTGTTCTGCTCCGTGTCAAATCTGAAGAACTCCATGCTGCAAGAATCTATTTTAAGAAACCTTGTGTCATGTTGGCTTGTATTTGTCATTAGTCACTGTCCATTTACCATAAATATTGAAGCCTAAAGATACAATATGCAAGAGCTAAATCTGCCTATTGCTAGTCTTTATTTAGGCTTCAGATGTTATAGAAATTATTAATTAGACCTTTATTTACATGACAAGCTCAAAATCAACTCTGTAGACCCTCAGATTAAATCAATAAGTGGTCGACCAAGCTAAGTTTACCATTAGTCACTGACATCACTACCGGAGACCAGGCCTGCCAAGTAAGGGTACCATAGCCATTGGGAATGCATTGGGAATGTCAGTCGAATGATCGGCAATTATCAAAGACGGTGCCTATTTCTAGTCCAAACTTCCAACAATGACAATTCCGTTCAGAATAAAGTAATTTGTCTGAAATTTTCAATAGTTTCTTTTTTTTTTATCATCTATTTTTGAATTATTATAGCAAGAATAGCCAACTCTTTATTAAACTCTTAACTAATGTATCTTTAAGTAAATTCCTGGATCATCCTGATCACTCAAAGAGACCGATTGTCTTTTAAGAATACCCTCATAAATTTGTCCTGTGGGGGGTTATCTAGTAAGATTGGGTGTCTCTACTTTCCATATATACAAAAATTGCCATACTTCAATTAGGAGGGATGAGTGGTTGAATGGTTAACGTATGCATGTTGAATCAGAAGGTCTGTCACTGCTTGTACGAGACGAGTAGGGTCGCCTGTCCAACCTCATGCGTTTGCTCCAGGTCCTCCATTTTCCTCCCACTGCTAAAGACCCCTACCTTAGCGAATTATTGAAATGAAATTGAAACACATGTTAGTCCCGAAATGACCTAGTTTGTGTGACTGGACCTTAAACCTCTCTCTCTCTCACTCTCTCTCTCTCTCTTTCTCATACTTCTTTTAAAGGACCTAAGTCCGTAACTCAAAATCCTCCAAAATCTTCGACATCGAAAACACGAATTATTGGTCAATTTAAATCAACGAATCGTGAACCATAATGCGCTTCAGCCCAAGTTGTATTGAGAGACTTGAGGGACGAGGCTAGACACATTGCACCAGATCAAATGGAGTTATGTAGACTAGAATAACTAGACGCTAGAAATTTGCACTCAATTGAGATTGCTGACTTATTTCGCCGAACATAACTGATTTGAAATTGGAGTAAAAATTGAAACCATTAAATGTAAATCAGTTTATATACATTCATATTACAGTATTATATGCGTTGCGACCCACTTTTGTGAATTTCTAGGTCCCAAATGTTAGCGATTTAGCTCCTTTAAATATAACTACACAATAAATATTTTCGTGGGAATGTATCTTTAAAGCATTCTCTCTATCTATTCAACAAATTATGGGCTACACATTGAATTAAATTGACATGACATATTGCAGTTAAACTCTGAGCATGTCATCACAATTTTGCCAAAAATAGGCACACAGTATTGTAAGATCATAAATCATGATATTAGGATTGTCATGAATTATGCACATCGAGGAGGTTGTATTTTGATTTTGGGTTATTTAGTTTAGTCCACCCATATAAAATGTGCACAATCTGATTAAAACATAGATACTATTTCGTTTTGATTTTTGTAGTTCAAAATTTCGTTTTATTTGTCTGTACAACACTAAGATCTGGTTAAAACACAGATCCTATTTTGTTTCGTTTTTATAGTTCAAAATTTCATTTTACTCGTCTTTACTACACTTGGATCTGGAAGACTTGTTATTTAACTCGTGTTTTGCTTGAAATGAGGGGTCAGCCAATCAAATGGTCTGTCAAATCGAGTGTTTGACCTTTTTTGCTCGGAACTGTGGGTAATCCACTAATAACATCAATGCTGATTGGTTAATCGAGTGTTTGACCTTTTTTGCCCGGAACTGTGGGTAATCCACTAGTAACATCAATGCTGATTGGTTAATCAAATGTCTGACGTCATAAGGTCATAAGTCGGTCTTTTGACCCCTGACGTGACCTATCGCTATAACTTGTCAGATCTTCATGTAGTGTAGGCCATCGAAAGTATAAAAAAATGAAACGAAATATAGATCTGTACTTTAATCAGATTGATTTTGTTTTTTATAGTTCAAAATTTCGTTTTATTTGTCTGTACTACACTAGGATCTGGAAGAGTTGTTATATAACCTGCGATCTGGATGGCGTGAGGGATTAGCCAATGAAACCATCTGTTACAGTGACTTCTTGGCGTGCGATGCACTGAATTTTGGGTAAACCACTAGAAACGTCAACGCTGGTTGATTAATCAATGTCTGACGTCATAAGGTCAAAAGCCACTTGTACGACCCCTGACAAAACCTTCCAGTACAACTTGTCAAATCTTCGTGCACTCAGCAAACCTCGTCAGATTCCGGTTCTCTACATCTGGCCTCGGTTGTATGTTTTTTCGTCCTCCATCCTACACCACTGACAAGGGGAAACTTTTTTAAAATTCAATTAAGAAAAAGGGAAATGGTGTTTAACATCCACTCGACACAAACTATGTCATTTCGAGACTAACATATGGTATAATTTTATTTCAATAATTTGCTTGCACATAGGGCTATTTGTATTTAGCAGTTGGAGGAAACCAGAGGACCCCTGGAAAACCGACTAGGTTGGCCAAGTGGGGAATCGAAACCACGACACTTGACTCAATCGCATACCTTATGATCCAATACGCATGCGTTAACCATTCAGCCACCCACCCCACCCACGCATCTACTTTATATCATAAGGTCTGTAATTGGGACCAGGAGTAGGGTCCACTGCCTAACCTTGGAGTTTTTCTCTGGGTCATCTGGTTCCTCCTACTGCTAAAGACCTATACACGCAAATGAATTATTAAAAATAAAAAGTTTTACGATGTTAGTCTTGAAATGACCTAGTTTGTGTTGAGTGGAGTTAAACTCTCTCTCTCGCTTGATTGTTATTAAATAGGACCAGGCATGCGATCCTCCCACTGGACATATACCAGAATCAATATAGATATCACATTTAGTCATTAAAGATGGATGTAGATTTGTTACAAAACAAACATTATCTCAGGATACTTATAACTTACTTTCTACCAGTATCAATTGATTTTACTAATGACAGTTTGTGAGTTAGACTTCTTGGACATTTGATGATAGCACGACTGACCATATATATATATATATATAATAGCGATTAAAGCAACACTCTCTCTCTGTCTTTGAGGGTAGAAAACCAAAAGATTTTATCCAATGTTCGAAAAAGGCAAATGTTTCTGAACCTTTTTGTTACCTAGTCCCATTCAATTATTAGAACAAGTACGATCGTACTATGGACCAGGAACTGACCATGTTGTTGGATGAAATTCAAAAATCTAATTCACCAAATCGATGCAGAATTGTGCAAAGAACAAGCACGCCAATTTTCATGTCGATTGCACTTGAATTGACAGGGCCTTAGGCTTTTTGAAGAGCGTCACCCAAAGAACAAGAAACATAGAGCCCAGTCATTTAGTACCTGATTATAGGGTTCCATTCTTTTATTTTATTTGGTAGAATAAAAAGATAAAAGGGAGGCAAATACAAGAGCAGGAAAAGATATTCAGATTTACCTAAGTTTAAATAAGGATAATGTGTGGAAGCTTATCTTTCACTGAAATTTCAATTTAGTATCTTTAAAATTGTGATTAGACAATGTTTATTCTTTAATCTTATGTTTTTAACTCGTCTTCATGTTGGAAATTCAGTGAGATCTAAGAAAATCTCACTTCAGTTTGGAGTCAAAATCGCTCCTGGTAAAAAAAACAACTCACTTAATTAAACATGCATTATACAAGAGCTAAATCTGCCTATTGCAGGTCTTTCTTTAGGCCTGAAATGTTTTCTAAAGTATTAATTAGACATTAATTAACTGATCCAGGCCTTAATCAACTCTGGATGGCATCAGATTTCTCCGATATTAAATAGATTAGAATGGTTCAGCGATACTTTGATTTAATCAAATATGGAGGACCGAGACTTAGCTTCGATCAACCAGTACGGTGGTTGAAATTATTGCACACATCTGTCAAACCTTCAAAGGCTAATATCTTTGCTTGCAATAGAGTAATTTGAATGAAATTTTCAAATTATTTATTTTACGTCATCTATTTTCGAACTATTATAGCAAGAATGGCTAGTTCTTTACCTAAATCTTACATAATGTACCTTTAATCAAATAACACCAATTAAATGGTTGTTTAGTAATGGTATTATAGTTGATGCTGTCTAGATATTCTGGTACCATCTGAATGAATAATAAATGATCAAATGAAAATCACTGAAATATATTTTGGGAAATTACAAACTTTTTTTCATGTCCCAGACGAGCAATTAAAAAGGTCGTTTGGAATATGGCCTGCGTTAATAATTTGTACATGGATTTATATTAAAGAGGCATTACATGTAAGATTTACATCAAGAGCTCTCTGTTCTTGTTTCAAAAGTTCAAAGATAGATTATGAAAAATGAATATATTGAAAATTTCAGTCAAATTACTTTATTCTGAGCGAATTGACAAGAAATATCCTAAATTGTGTCCACCGAATGACATTTCATTTTCTGGATTGTTAAAGACCACGTAAGATCAAAAATCTAAATTTAATGTACGTATAGCCCATGCTTACTATATGAACTTTAAGGCAAGTTCACGCCAATCTGATTAAAATTAAGTCCGCTGTTAACGTTTAAGTATCCGACACGCCAAAACGCTTTTCGATTTTTCAATTACGACCTTAATCCGGTTGATTGGCTGGTGACGTCACAGGCACTACACATAGGATATACATTATCTATACAATATCTCACTGTCTGTACAATATAGCACTATCAATACACACGGCAACTGGACAAGCGTCTATTGACGGTCAAATTACCACGTGACTGGCCTAATCATAATCACCGAATTATCGTCTTTCATTGGTATAGATTAGACATTTGTGATTGGAATATTTTAGAGTGAATTTAAAATGCTGTATCATGCCGTAGATCAATTTAAGCTGCCTTTGTTTAAATAGGCCACGTGTCAAATGAAGATTGACTCAAGCAATTAGCGCATTTACCGGTAATTTGGATAATCCCGTAATACTTGATATCCCAAACTTAAGTACAGAAATACAAATGATGCCAGTCAATTGTCGATATATTCATTATTAGCTATACATAATAATAATAACCATTTCTATACACAAAGAACAATTTGTATCGTAACTCAATTTGAAATTCACAGCGAATATGGAATTTTCCGATGAGCATGCATAATCTTATTGCCATGTATAGTTCCATGCACTACAGGTGTAGTTACTGAGGTTAAACTTTGGCGCGAAAATTCCATGGGATTCATGGACATGAATATCAAATACGCGGAGTTCCTGATGCCGTTTGGTGAGTGATTAAACTGTCAATGCAATTGTAAAATACTTTTATTATAAAGAATATTTCATATCAAGTCAATTAAATGTTGTTTAAATGCCAATCAACAAATAATGCGATGCTACTTGATTACAAAAAAACAAAAATTAAATAATAATTATAAACAACTGATGAGTAAAACTTAATTATTTTATACAATAAATATGTGTGTGTACGATTCTACCATTAGTTCATTTGTAGGTACTACGCACACGTTCCACCTAGAGTGATGCCTTTGACCTGGCCGGCGTAAAAAAGATAATTACATAATCAGCATTCTTAATCCCACTAACAATCACTGCTAACACCGAGATGTAAATTAATTAATGACCCCAAGTCTGTATAAGTTTAGTCGGATTGATTAATTAATGACTGATGTTAATGACACAACTATTATTAAGAGTGTTTTCGATAATTGGCAAAGTCGTTTTTACGGGAGGTCCATTTTTACAACTTTGAGTGAAGATAACTGAATTAATTTCAATCAGATTGGTGTGAACTTGCCGTAAAGTTGATATTGTAACCATTGGCTACACATATCCAAAAGTTTCCAAGCCCATCTTATGTGCACTTTAAGTACAATTGGCATGATAATAAACGAAGTCTCAATTTTCAGTGCATCAATCAGCCGTCACTGTGAGTTGCCACCATATTTTCGGCATATTTGACCAATTTCCCCAAATTGGGCCCCGCACTAGTAAGGGGTCCCTCATCTCACTAACTTTTCCAGGCAATCTGACAGCAGGGCTGCCAGGTGCGGCTATTTTCAGGTATTAATCACTAACTTTTCCAGGCAATCTGACAGCAGGGCTACCAGTCGTGGCTATTTTCAGGTATTAATCAATTACTAATTGTGAAGCAAAGAAAAGTTAGCCTTAAATATGAATGAATATAGGCCTAGTTAAATTTATTCATATCCTGCAATGTATTCATATCCTGTAACTTCGGGCCTCCCAAATTGGGCCTTGTATTTTCTACAACCAACCCTGCGTAGATATGGCAGGCCCTATCTAATCCACTCAACTCAATATCTAAGTTATTTGGTGGTTTATTGGGTTGATTATATGCTTGTCATGTGTATGAATGTCTAAATAATTTATATAACCTTTGAAGCCAGCAAAAAGCTCATCAATAGACAGAATTAGCTCTTGTATAATGTCTCTTTGAGCAATTTTATTCCCTACAGAACAAATTTTCACATGAATTGTTTATGGCACCTTCACAGTGTCATGTTAAATGTACCTGATACATTCGGTTTCATTTTAAAAAATCAACAATAACACCCAATCTGATCAAAATACAGATCTATATTTAGTTTCGTATTTTTATACTTTCGATGGCCTACACTACATGAAGATCTGACAAGTTATAGCGATAGGTCACGTCAGGGGTCAAAAGACCGACTTATGACCCTATGATGTCAGACATTTGATTTTAATTAAAACCAATCAGCATTGATGTTACTAGTGGATAACCCACAGTTCCGTGCAGAACACGCCTAAAGCTCGCCGTAACAGACCATTTCATTGGCTTATCCCTGACACCATTCAGAACACGAGTTAAATAACAACTCTTCCAGATCCAAGATAAAGACAAGTAAAACGAATAGGATCTGTGTTTTAACCAGATGGCAATAACACCCAGTAAGAAAATTACGCGAATATTTTCAGGTTTTTGCACGAAATAAAATAATTTAAATGCCTAGAAGAGGATGAAATTTTTAGATATTACAAACACGATCTTTTTTTCTATCCAAAACTTTGAACTTTCAGCCATAAGAAAATTACACAATTATTTTTCTGTTTTTGCATGAAATGAGACCATCACTTGAAGTTGACTCCAAGATTATTCATGTGAAAAAGGTATTAAGTATTAAAGCGGATGTGTTTGTCTGTTAACCTTTAGAAGGTTTATTATCTTCCCAGACATATAATGATAATGTATAGATTTTTCTCTATATAGATTTAGCACATTTTATCTTTTAATATGATTACCTTTTCCTTGAGTGGTTTTTAAAACTTGCCCATGTCGAAAATTTCCCTTTTATTGTGAGAGGGAGAGAAATGGGGTTTAACGTCCACTGGACACAAACTAGGTCATTTCGGGACTAACATATGGTTTAATTTTATTTCAATAATTCAATTGCGTGTAGGGGTCTTTAGCAGTGGGAGGAAACTGGAGGACCCAGAGATAACCCATGAGGTTGGACAGGCGACCCTTCTCCTTGTCACATACAACCGGGGAATCGAAACCATGTCAGTTGACTAAATGACAGACTTTATGATACAGCGCGCATGTGCTAACCATTCGGCCAACCAACCCCCAGATATACATAGAGTATTACATACATATCAATATCATATACACACAGACTAGAATATACATGTACATATCAAATATACACAGATTAGAATATAAATATCATATACACAATGTAGAATATACATATCAAATACATAGTGTACATATCAATACATACAGCAAATATATACAGATTAGAATGTACATATCATATACACAGTGTAGAATATACATATCAAATATACACAGAACAGAATACACATAGACTAGAATATACATATCAAATATACACAGAATACAGTATACATATCAAATATACACAGTGTAGAATATACATACCAAATATACACAGGCTAGATTATACATATCAAATACACACAGAGTAAACTGTACATATCAAATATACACAGTGTAGAATATACATATTAAATATACACAGAGTATAATATACATAGCATATATACCCAGAGTAGAATATACATAACATATACACACAGAGTAGAATATACATATTAAATACACACAGAGTAGAATATACATATTAAATACACACAGAGTAGAATATACATATTAAATACACACAGAGTAGAATATACATATCAAATATACACACACAGTGACACACTAGAATACACACATACTAGAATATACATATCAAATATACACACAGACTAGAATATACATATCAAATATACACACAGACTAGAATATACATATCAAATATACATAGACTAGAAATACACACAGTACAGTACATATCAAATATGCATAGAGTAGAATATACATATCAAATATACAAGGAATATACATATCAAATATACACAGAGTAGAATATACATATCATATATACACAGAGCAAAATATACATTTCAAATATACAATATATGTGTGGTTCTTTCATTGTCGTTATATTATTTCAGTCAAAATGTTTAATGATATTGATTATTATATTTTTTAGATACAAGAACAGAGAATATTTCACCAGAGTGTCAAGGTGAACATAACAGATGAAAAAATGTGTCGTGTTTGTAAAAAGAGAATTGGAGATAGGTAAGGAAGGGTTATTAATTTTAATTAGAGTATCACCTGTAGCCGTTAAAATGAAATGAAATGAAATGAAATGGGGTTTAACGTCCTACTGTTCTGCTCCTATACTGGGCTAATGAAGAGGGGCATACGCCATACAGTATGCTATGAGGGAAATTTTGCCCGGTCAGCGACACTATCGCCTACTCTTATATCAAATTCCAACTGCCAAGGGATCTTTTACGTGCATTCCAATGTATACACGGGACCTCGGTTTTTCATCTCATCCAAAGGACTAAACAGCTGTCCTTGTCAGGCCCTCCATCCTGCACCCTGCACCACTGACAAGGGGAAACCACGTCGGAAAATCCAGATGAACTTTCTCGGCCAATGCAGGGATCGAACACCCGACCTCCAGGCTAGCGAGCCAGCGTCTTAACCACCTAGCCATCGTGGCTCCCAGTAGCCGTTAAAAGACTAGAGTTATTAATTTTAATTGAAATCTCACCTGTCCTCGTCAAAAGACTAGATACACTTTTATACAGAATGCAAATGAGTAAATTGCAAAATACATAATTTAATGTCATATTCACATATGTCCATATATGGGGATCACGGTGGCTAAGTGGGTAAGATGCTGGCTCGCTAGTCTGGAGGTCGGGTGTTCGATCCCTGCATTGGCTGGGAAAGTTCATCCTGATTTTCCAGCGTGATTCCCCATTGTCAGTGATGCTGTCTAGTCATTCGGATGGGACAAAAAACCGAGGTCCCGTGTACACATTGGCGTGCTCGTAAAAGATCCGTTGACAGTTGGAATTTGATATAAGAGTAGGCCTTAGTGCCGCTGTCCGGGCAAAATTTCCCTCGTAGCACACTGTATGGCGTATGCCCGTCTTCATTAGCCCAGTTGGAGCAGAACAGTCGGCAGTTAAACTCCATTTCATTTCTATATGTCCATATGAAATTTTAATTGATGCTCTGTCATTAATTGGTTTAATTCTATATTTCAGTGCCTTTGCCAGATATCCGAATGGAGTAATTGTACATTATTACTGTTGTAAAGACAATAAAGTATGTCCTGTTGATGTTTAAACCATGACATCGTCATCAGGATCCAGTGTTTATAATAAGATTAGAATGACCAAAGCGAATGTTTCATTTATTTGTGTTTCTTGTCTTTCGAGACATAACCTGTGACATCAAGGCATTTTAAAAGGTCCAAAAAAATTTGAAGTGGGACAATTACGCTGACACAAAAAAAGGATGCCCTGTAATTTGGTTGAAGGTTTAATGGAGTGAAGGTCATTATCCAAGAGTGCGATTGTCATTACTGGAGCAGTCGCTACTCATCTACTTGTTGTTGTTCATGGGGGCGCTTGTTCCTTGAACAATTGCGATTTTTTGATATGACACCACAATTCCAAGATGGCTGCAATGACATCATGCTCGCTTCCCAGTCCATAGTATGCTCGTTTATCGTTTTATATAGATTGGTCTCCGCACAGTTGCTTATACGCTCAATAAACAATCAAGAAATATGGATGTTTTTTGTTAAGATGTTATAGGCTCACAGTGTAATGTGGCCCGAGATATTGCTGTTGTTTTGGATAATATTATTGAATAAGAGAATATAACAATGCATTAAATGATTAGCCAATCACCACACATCATGCACTCATATTGAGAAGTCACATGATTGTTTGAATACATGGTCGCCCGAAATGTTTAATCATGTGACGTGAAAGGTAATGCAATCGACTGGTGAATTGGGCAAAGGCTTCGCCTAGTGTGTCCATATGTGGGATGGCTTAACCCTAAACCGGTCGACGTCATTTTGACGTCATGACGTCAAGTGGTCCGGCTAAATAAAGGCTGACGCGAAATATTTTGTATGCCTATTTCAATCGACTATTGCCGAATAATTATAAGTGATAGACTCTTGACACCAATAAAAAAAGTTGAAGGGGATAAGTTGATCTATAATTTGCAAATCATTCTAACTTCTTTTCATCAGAAATATCGTCTTCAGAATCGGTGTCATCGATATAATCCAAGTCAGAATATTTCATAAGAATTTCAACCACTTCGAGCGTCTTTAACGTTCCCGAAATCGTTAAATTACGTTTTTCTTCAAAAAATGTTGAACAAAGACATGTTTTTCTCAATGCCCTTGACTAGACAAGTTCCTGTCTGACACGCATGCGTGGCCATATCAATTAAATACGAAACTAAATACTCAAATGCGGCTTATAAAAAAAGGTTCTTGTTGTGGTCGACTTTAGTCAACCGTGACCACTTAGCTGTATAACGTTGTGGTGACTATAGTCGACAATGACCGGTTAAGGGTTAAATAATTAGATTTTTACATTTTTTTATTATATTTCAAATATGAAATATGTGTAATCTTTACGAAATATACTTGTTGCCGTTTAAATTTGTAAAACCTTCTTCAATAATAGATTTTTTTTTTTTTTTTCAAAACACAGTTGCGGTTGAAGGTTGCAAATTTTGTGCAATTATTATTGATGTATTATTTGGGAGATGAGATGCTAATCGTAGGCCGGTTGGGGAGGTTCGGGAATCTCCGGAGTCCAAAATGACCGCTTTATATAAATGAGTATTTTGGGGAACACTAACCCTAACACTTTTAAGAGGGGTAAAAGGTAAATTGGATCCAAGTTCAGTCATCTAAAAAGGGTTAGGGTTAGTATTCCCCTAAATACTCGTTTATATAAAGCGGCCATTGTGGACTTCAGAAATTCACAAACCTCTCCCAACTGGCCTACAATTAGCATCTCCGGTATTATTTACTTACTTAAAAGACACAAAAAGTAAACAAAATTTTGTAAGCCACTCCAATTTGTTTATTTCTTCCGGAAAAAGACTTATTTAAAACCCAAAAGGCTATTATCACCCATTTACAATATCTACTCAGATGTACTTCATTATATAATAAAAACAGTATTTACATTATAAAATAGTACGACCTCACCACTGTTTTTAAGGGGTGGTGGGATGGCCGAATGGTTAGCACATGTGCGCTGTATCATAAGGTCTGTCATTGAGTCACCTAGCGGGGTTTTGATTCCACGGTTGTACTTGACAAAGAGTAGGGTCACCTGTCCAACCTTTGGGTTTTCTCTAGGTCCCCTGGTTTCCTCCCACTACTAAAGACCCCTACGTGCAAGCAAATTATTGAAATAAAATTGAACCATGTGTTAATCCCGAAATGACCTAGTTTGTGTCGAGTGAACATTAAACCCCATTTCTTTCTCTCTCTCTATCCCACAAATTGAATGTGTTAAGTTGAATATGGATGGGCGGAATTTGTTAAAGATGTTGTTAGACTGTACTATATGTAAATATTAAATTAAAAATGAAAGGGTGGTGTAATTTTAATTAGAATGGATGTATGACAGTAACTTGACAAATAAACTGTCCCACCGCTTCACAGTTAAAGATGCATTATGTAAGATTTAGGTAAAGAGCTGGCTGTTTTTGCTAATAATAGATAATGAAAAATGAATATATTGAAAATGTCATTCAGATTACTTTATTGTGAGCAAAGTTATGGGTGTTTCAAGATGTGTAAATCGATTATTATTGTAGCAATGGTACATGGCAATAGAAACTTTGTCTTGATTATCCATTTAATCCAGTGATTCTCAACCAGTGTGTCGCGAAATTTCTCACTGGAGAAGCCAGCTATTTTGCTGACTGATGAAATTCCTAACACTGCAATAAAACAAGTTCATAGTGATTCTCAACCAGTGTGCAGTGACACACAGGTGTGCTGAGAGATCTTCCTAAGTGTGCCGCAAAATCCCACTAGAGAAGCCAGCTATTTTGTTGACTAATTCAATTCGAAACACTGCAATAAAGTAAGTTCATAGCGGTGTTTTTTTTTTTATTAGTTTGAGTCATTCTATGTGACTATGATTAGTCTGTGTCATGTTTTTATTTTGCAAAATTAAAATATTTTTCATATATTTTTAGCCAGGTGTGCCGCTATTTTTTCATGTGTTCCAAGGTGTGCCGTTGGCAAAAAAAGGTTGAGAACCACTGATTTAATCGTTAAATTTTAAAATCTTGCGGGCATTCTAATTCATTTAAATCTCTGCCATCCATTGGTCTAGTTGTTTTTGGGCTTGTTATGTTAACAAATGTCTGAATAATAATTTATATAACAATTGAAGCTAAAAGAAAGACCTGCAATAGGCAGATTTAGCTCTTACATAATGTATGTTTAATGGATATAATAATTTAAATAACATTTAATAGGCAGATTTAGCTCTTGAATAATGTATGTTTAATACACAAACAGATATTTCTTTAACTTTAATCTTCCCTGCACAGGTACAGAGTTATTTTCTACCTTAATAAACCTTCAATTGTGATGCTATAACAATGCTGTGGTATAAATTAATATTTCATTGTATATACATATTAATAGATATATTTTCACTTTAATTTATGCTGGATGTCAGTGTATTACATTATATCACTGTAAAATAAAAGATATGCAAAACATTTTAAAATGTGTCAATTAATCTCTCAGATGTTGGATTTAAAGAGACATGCTGCTTAGAAAATATGAAATGTCTACATATACTAAGTTGATGTGAGGAGGGGGAACAGGGGCCTGTTTAACGAAATTTTAACTGAGATAAAATCCAAATTTTAGTAATTTGATTGGATAATATTAGATTGATTTTAGTGCTTAGCCAATCAAAATTGAAGTATCTACTAAAATTTAGATTTTAAGAAACAGGCCTAGGGGTAGTATTTTCAAGTTAATAAAACTTTTGTTTCTTCCCATATGAAAATTTTAATAATCTTTTAACCTTTACATTTCTGTCTTTACCCTTGTTCTTACAAAACTATAAATATTTTTTTTCAGTATTTCCTCTTTAATAATATGATAAACTGGGAATGTATCAACCATTTGTTATTATTGGAAGGTATATGTTATAAATACTTAAACCTTGAAATATTAAAGTCTTAAAACATGTCCATAAGGCCAATGAACCCAATCAAAAGAATTTGGAAAGGGTTAATGTATGATATTAAAAAGGTTAACAGAAATGAAATGAAATTAAATAGGGTTTAACGTCCTACTGTTCTGCTCCTATACTGGGCTAATGAAGACGGGCATACGCCATACAGTGTGCTATGAGGAAAATTTTGCCCGGGCAGCGGCATTATCGCCTACTCTTATATCGAATTCCAGCTGCCAAGGTATCTTTTACGTGCATTCCAATGTTTACACGGGACCTCGGTTTTTTGTCTCATCCGAAGGACTAGACAGCTGTCCTTGTCAGGCCCTCCGTCCAGCATCACTGACAAGGGGAAACCATGTCGGAAAATCGGGATGCACTTTCTTGGCCAATGCAGGATCGAACACCCGACCTCCAGGCTAGCGAGCCAGCGCCTTACCCACCTAGCCACCAAAAAAAAAAAAAAAAAGGGTTAACAATTTTTACTGTCATTAGGGCTAATATTTAGGTTCTTATCAGTAATTGTAGTCCAATACCCATAATTGAACATTATAGTTTTTAATTTGGAGTTCTTGCTCCTTTGGCTGAGCAACTGTTGGCCCTGTAAGTGTGAGTTTGGGATTCGATCCCACTGTGTCTTACGACCATTGGCGGATTAAGCTCCACCAAGGCCTGAAGCGGCAGTTGCTGGAGGGCCTATGGTTTTTGATATTTGTAATGTAACTTTATATGCCCATAAATGATGTCACGTGGCTACAATATATTAAGCAAGACATAACCGAAAACTTACAAGGATTTAATGTACATTGTAGGCCTACGTTTAAAAAATAAGATCAGATCTCCAAACAATTGGGCCTGAGGCTGCAGCCTCATCAGGCTCACTGATAATCCGCTACTGCTTAGGACTTTCCAACCGGTTTCCCCTTGTCAGTAGTGTACTATCGATAATGAGTTTGCATCCAGTTTTTTTTTTGGTTATTTTTTCAATGTTGGATAATGTTAATCAGCTAATCTAATCATGGGGGCCTAATAGATAAAGGCCCATTATTTAATCAAAACAGTGAGTCATGGTCGGAGTATCAAGGTGATGGGTCGATCACGGTATTATAAGCCTAATTAAAGATATAATCGGTGTCCATTTGTCAGTTTATAATAGCAGCACTGCATTGCACATTCAAACCGGAAAAAAAACAGAAAGTATCATTTGGGTTTTAATATTCTAGCCTATCCCAATGATGAGGATGCCGATCTAATACTCAAAAGGTGTATATAAACATTGTCCAACAGGTGCCCGTTCCGAACTACTTTATGACAGGTGATCATGGGGAAGGAACTCTTTCAAGACTGGAAGAGAAAACAAACATTCCCTATTACTAGTAGTCTGTCTCCCTGTTTGTGGCCTATAAATACATCGTGCAAATAGCAAACAACTGAACATCTCTTATTTATTAGCAAGACAATTTGAAAACATTATTGTGGCGGATCAGATCGAAAGTGACGAGGAATGTAACCAACTCTGCGCGACATTTTATAACGCTATCCCATAATAGTATGACATCACTAGGTTAATTCGTGAATAATATTCTCATTATGTTGATGATTAAAATAAAACGGAAAACAAATGAAGTACAAGGAGTGGCCATCACGATAATGTATTTAATACGGGGATAAAAGGGAATTCTTTTATAAATTACGCATGTTACAAGGGAACTATTTTATGTAAAAACATTGAGCGAAAGTACTCCATCCAATTGGCGGAAGAAGATGCGATGGTGTAATGAGGCTAGCTCTGGGTTCCCGCAATCTTCTGTAGAAGCCGGCTAAATATTTAGTTTTACTGTATCAGTTCGATTGGATTAGAGATTGCAAAGAAGGTACTTAAACTTTGGATTATCGACCAAACGGTCCATTATTTTTCCAGGTAAGAATGTTTGTAGATTTCGCAGGATATGTAGAAGAATTCGAAAAGCAACCTGATGCCTTTGCATTGGCTAGCCAACATGGCGGTATTATTCATAATCAATAAACGGTGCATCTATATTGGCAGCGTCATCATTACGACAAACTGTTTTGAATATATTTATCGCAGACATATCCTTCTAGAATCATAAAAATGTGCTTTAAATCTTGCAATTTGATCTGACAAAGCCGCTTATAAATTATGTTAAAACCCAACCAAAACAGACTCGTTTGTCTAGCTGTAAATGGCAAGGCTGTGTCGGTTGTTACTACTCGCTAATCAAGAGCAATGAACCGTGGTAATCTTTCTGTTCAAAGCTCGTAATATATTACCTCTTTGGTGTTGTAAGTTTGGCAAATGGAATATTCGTTTGGGCTCTATCTTTTTTTTATATTTAAACACATTGAACAAAGCCTTCTTCATATTCTACTTCTAGGGTGTGTATTTTTTTCCCAGTAAAGCATTATTGTTGGCCATTGCAGTACGTACGCCAGTAGGCCTCATAATTTGATATCAGTGACTAACGCCTACATTTTTATGAATGAAATATTATAGCCATGTCAAAAGGTTATCTCACATTGCTTGATGTGTTGTAGATAAACTTTAGTTCCATCCAACCCTGCACAAACCAGTGGGCTACATTATAAACAAATGTGCCACACCCACTTCTGGAATATTAAGTAAGCTTAGGTTTATTTGTGTTGGGGGGAAAAAAAAGAGAGTGTAAACAAAAAATGTAAAAACAAGAATGTGGATAAAGAAGCCCCCAAAACATCTGGATTACTACAGTGTACAATTGTTGTAGCATCTCTTAAAACTTGTCATTATTTGCAGTGATGAGTTTTATGGACTAAATAATGGCCAACCCTGATGATTGGCTCCATTCTATGCCTTACACAATAAATGAAATTAGTTGGGATTAAATATATGGACCCTGTAAATTATAGCTTAACCTAAGTCTTTAAATGCTACACAATAACTGAGTTAAGACTAAGTCATGGGAATATTTTACTCATAATCCATAGCATAATCCGTGTCAAAAGTGCAAGGCAAGCTAAAATTCTATCTGTTGTTTGTGCTTTAGCTAATTATAAATTAGAATTATGAATTTTGGTACATTTGGAGTCTTGGACCAGGTTGTGAGGTTATCAGCTCCTGAAATGGACCAGTATGTAGACACTTTGAGTTGCAAGCTTACTTAATCTTATAAATATCTTTTTGATATGAAGTTCCTTTATCTGGTGCTATTAGGTAGGCGGTAGCCTTAAATCGAGCTATCACTTGTATCAGAAACTAAAATGCAATCATGCGGTAGTTCTACAATGTTTCAAGGGGGTTGGATGGCCGAATGCTTAGCACGTGCGTGCTGTATCAAGGGATGTCATTGAGTCAACTAGCGTGGTTTCGAATCCCAGGTTGTACGTGACAAGGAGTAGGGTCGCCTGCCCAACCTCATGGGTTTTCTCTGGGCCCTCCGGTTTGCTCCCACTGCTAAAGACCTCTACGCGCAAGCGAATTATTGAAATAAAATTAAACCATACTTTAGTCCCGAAATGACCTAGTTTGTGTCGAGTGGATGTTAAACCCCATTTCTCTCTCTCTCTCTCTACAATGTTTCATCTACATGTATAGGCTACAAGCAATCAGATAAAACTTTGTGAAAATTTACCATACAATTAAAGAGTCTGAAATTTCTAAAATGAAAACTTCAAACACAAGTAATTTGTTACTAACGGTGAGTAACAGGTCCTTCAATATAGATCAACAGCTGTCCAGAGTATAATGAGTTGGACTAGATAATTTTATTATCCAAACTTGGTGGAAATCAATAAAGAGTTGTGAGGACAGCTTCCAGTGATTCATACCAATACAATGAGTTCATAAAACACATGATTCTCTAGCTCAACATGTAACTCTAACTACTGACATTATCAAACTCGATGACTAGCTTCTGATGAAACTCAGTGTCGTTTACTGAGACAATCGAATTAGATAGTTGTGTGTGTGTGTCAGTGCCACAGCTGGCTGTCGACATGGCTAAGGTGTATGGATGTGACACTTCAGGAATTGATACAAAATCAACTGTTGCCACAGTAACATGAGATGGAATTATGGTACAATAGAAAAACCAAAACATGCATTGCAGCTACATATACATGTAACACCCAGGTGTGTGGAGGAGGGGGGGGGGGGAGATATATATTTACTTAAATCTTGAGTCTGTTCTTTTTTTTTTGAAGGAGATCTTTCTGCTCACCCATATTTTTTTCCCTAAAAATATTGTGAATAAATCGGTTGCGAAAAATTGAAATTAATTTCTTGTATTCAAAATAATGTAAGATCTATGGACTCATGTACAATAAGGCTACATCATATCAGTCCATGAACCATGCCAGGTACACATATTTTAGATAGAATTTAGAAAAGGTATTAGTATAAAAATATGTTAGTATTTAGAACATATGGTTCTAATAAGATGGATTACTTTCAGCTATTTATACATCTTTAGTACTTACATATCCTACCTGAGATAGGTAACACAGGTCAAAGGTCATACATGTAGTGTACTCACTACCACACTATACACATGGTATGACAGTAATTAAACCATTGTAAACAACACTTGGGGTATAAACAGACATGTATAGTCACATGATGTAAACACAGTATTTAAACCCCTAAATATCTGAATAATATTTAATATAGAAGTATAGAGTTTTATGACCATTTGTATGTACATGTAATTTAATAGATTTAAAATAACGGTAATCCTATAGAGTTTTAAGACCAAACACAATCAAATTAATTTCATGAAAAATTATTTTCCTCCAAATCTTATTAAAATCAATTGATTGTAATTTAAGTTATAGTCATTGAAAGTTTACATTGGTTTCTAATTGCTTTCACATTGCTATCTTTATTTCTCCTGAAGTATTGAGTCTAGCGTTTGGGATTTTGATCCAACATTTGTATGTGAGTGTTCTTCTGTCTCCTCCATCCTCCTACTCTACTGCTAAATGGGGGATGGATGGCCGAATGGTTAGCAGGTGCGCGTTGTATCATTAGGTCTGTCATTGAGTCAACTGGCGTGGTTTCTATTCCCAGGTTGTACGTTACAAGGAGTAAGGTCATCTGTCCAACCTTAGGGTTTTCTCCAGGTCTTCCGTTTTGCTCCCACTACTAAAGACCCCTACGCGCAAGTGAATTATTGAAATAAAATTGAACAATACACATGTATGTTAGTCCTGAAATGGCCTAGTTTGTGTCGTGGACGTTAAACCCCACTTCTTTCTCTCTATCTCTCTCTCACTGCTAAAGACCCCTATCGAAATAAAATTGTACCATGTTAGTCCCGAAATGACCTGCTTTGTGTTGAGTAGATGTTAAAGGTATTATGTACATGTACCCCCGTTTCTCTCTCTAAAAGTTTATGTTTAGATTTGCCTCTTTGTTCGAAATGTTGTGCCTTTAATGTCCTTTAGTATTAAAGTAGTGCAAAAATTACCATTATGTACACAAAAACATTAGCCTACTCTGAATGGTATAAAATTTGAGAGGAAGTATATATTAGAGGTTATGTTAATATAATAATTGAGGAAATTATTAAACCGGTTTAAAGTGGGATGATATAAATAAACTGAAGAGTATCAGGAAATACACAGACTATTAAACATACATTATGCAAGAAGTAAATCTGTCTATTGCAGGTTTTTCTTTAGGCCTGAAATGTTATCTAAATTATTAATTAGACATTAATTAACTTATCCAGACCATAATCAACTCTAGATGGCATCGCTAGGCTGCGATCTTAAGTGGATTGTGAGCTGATTTACTGCATAACTTTCCTTGGCGATTAAATGGATAATCGAGACTATGCTGTTTATCGTACTGACTTTAGTAATGATGACCGAGGCTTATGGGAATTTCAGTCGCTTAGTTCTCGGTTCATAATGGATCAATTTGAATGAAATTTTCTCCAAATTGCCTTTACATTATCTAGTTTTTAACTATTATAGTGAGAACTGCCAACTCGTTACCGAATCTCCCATAATGTATCTTTAATAGATTATACATTATTTATATTATTTATATCATAGTCTCGGCGGGGGGTTGGATGGCCAAATAGTTAGCACGTGCGCGTTGTATCATTAAGTCTGTTATTGATTCAACTGGCGTGGTTTCGATTCTCCAGTTGTACGTGACAAGGAGCAGGGTCGCCTGTCCAACCTCGTGGGTTTTCTCTGAGTCCTCCGGTTTCCTCCCACTGCTAGAGACCCTACGCACTTGCGAATTATAAAAATAAAATATGAACCATATGTTAGTTCCAAAGTGACCTAGTTTGTGTCGAGTGGGTGTTAAACCCCATTTCCCTCTCTCTCTCTCTCTAGTCTCATAGTCTCCACAGTTTAGGGACATACAGGTAGATGCTGTAAATACCTCGTTATCTCATCCATATTACATGTATCTCTTTAATCTTCTATAACATCCCCACCTGCAGGTATAAAATTTGTTGATCAGCTTATTTATAGATTAAAATGAATTCAGCTGATTACATGCAAATTCAGGCAATGTTTGAAAACTAAAAAGTTGCTATAAAATGATTATATAGGGATATATTGTACATGTACATGTAGTCGTAACAGCCCTAAACCAAAACAACCATAGTTTCTTGCCAAAGCGACAACTAATTATTAGTATATTTATGGGATGTTTTGAGTTACAGTATGGCCATTAATAAGTCTGTAACTGACTGTAACCAATCTAAGGAACTTGTAAAAATGATGTTATGGTGGAAGAAGTTGTAAAAAAGAAAATTGGTTTGCTGAGCAATCGCAGTATTTTCATTATTTTTTCCGATAGAAGTACCCTTTACTGGTTCTGGTTACATTTATAGCATGTCGCATGTGTGATCAACATGTGAAGAAATGATATTTCTAGAGAATCTAGTTAAAAGTTCAATT